AGGATGGCTGAGGTTGGCAGGGACCTCTGGAGGTCATCTGGTCCAACCCCCTGCTCAAGCAGGGCCACCTAAAGCCGGTTGCCCAGGACCGGCTTTTGAATATCTCCAAGGAAGGAGACTCTCCCACCCTGAAGATTTGTGCTTCCGTAGAGCTGGCTCTGGGCTGGGTGCACTTTTAACTGCTGAAGTTGGAAGCCATCAACTTGCATCTGGTTCCTAAGTATGGCCAAGTCTACTTGGTCTCTGCACGTGTGGATCTGATGAATTTGCACGGCTTCCTAATTAGGGTGATTGCCTTCCCGTCTCTTCTGCTTCTTGCCCTTACCCATTCCTTCCGAGCAGGGCATGTGCACTGTGAAATGCAGGACAGCACTTTGTTGATCCCTTGGGAGTGGCCAAGACAGCAGGACTGTCACTGCCAAAATCCTCACCACTGAGGTGAGGCAGTAAGCAGATGTTGGGACTTATGGACATGCAAGTCCTACTATGGAGGAAACTACCTTTTGGTGATAATGCGTCCGCTTGCAGTGTGGAGAGAAGAGGAGGAAATGCAATAGGGTGCAAAGAGAAAAAAGCGGCATAAGTGGACGCGAGCAGGGAGATTTTGTTCACAAATTTGAGATGGAGGCAGAGGCAATGCGCAGGGATGTCAAGGGCCATCAGTTGGGATATTTTGCATTGACTGGTCTCAGGAGAGACGGTGATGGCCTCTGAAGTGGATTGCTTGGGTTTCGGGAAGAAATGCTTGAAGGAAGGGGAAGCATGTGGGCTCTCTCCTGTGGTGTCCTTCTTCCCCATCAGCCCCTGCAGGAGAAGCCGCCGCTCCCTCCTGGTCCACAGGCTCTCTCCCTAACCTGCTGCCATTGAATCCCTCAGGGAGGTGCTGTGGAAGAGAGCGCCCTGCTGAGCCTGTGGCTGAGGGCAGGGGGCTGAGATGCTCCGCAGGGGCATCTCAGCATGTCCTCTGCAGCCCATCCCTGAACCAGCACCCAGGGGCTGAGCTTAAGGGTGTTCGGTTGTCCCCGGCTGCCGCAGCACAGGGCGTTGTGCTGCTGAGCACATATGCAAGGAAAATGCTGAGAATGGAAACTCAGCCCACAGTCGCTTAAAACCCTGATGGTGTCCCATGCTGAGTAATTTCTGTCTACCCACGGGTAGATATCTGTGTGTACTCCTTCACCTGACTGCTGGCCCCATCTGACAGAAGTGGTGTCTCAGCGTGGAGGGGAGGGCCAAGGGGAAACACAGGCAGTCGGAGGCCCTTCGAAGAGACCAGTTTGCGGCCTTTCCGCTGCTGGAGGAGAAGGAAAGGCGGCAGCAATGGGTGATGTGCGGCGGGAAGGGGGTCTGTCAAACCGGGCGCATTGGGAGCAACTGCGTACCCTGCGGGGGGGCAGAGCTGCAGGCAGCACTGGAGCTCTCCTCTCCTGAGCTGCTCAGCACTAAACTGAATGATTGCTGGGTATAATCACAGCGGATGTTCAGGACCGTGTTATGTGGTTTCCGGTTAATAACCACAGCAAGCCCCTGAGATGGCGACTTAGCAAAACCCACGCAGGCTCTGTAGTCTCTCTGAGATAAAAGACACTTGTTCACAGTCTCCAAAGCCGTGGGCTGGTTTTCTCACTTATGTATGAGCCTGCCGATAGGAGCAGCGGTAGATGGACATTTTTGTTTCAGACAGAGGCTTTGCCTCCAAGCTCCAACACGGCGGGTGTCTCCACCCCCCCATTCCTGCCCTGTGGTCCCCCACACACCTCCTCTGCTACTCTCCTGCCCAGTAGCACCCAGTGATTCCCCACCACAGTTCAAATAAGGGTGTGTGGATTTGCTCT